ACCACTGAATGTACTCTTTTTCTCCTCAACTTCTTCTGCATAGAAGTGCTTGAAATTTATGTTCAAATAGTGTACAGAAAAAGAGTGTATATATTCTCACCTCATATTCTCATATGATATAAAATTTTATATATAATAAATAAATAAAAATTTATGAATGAATCGGTTATCATATAATATAATCGACACAAACATAAATAAATTGTTTCAATAGAGAAAACACACAATATTTTTACAGACATTTAGAAGGCTATCATAGATATTTTGGTGTTGTGTTGAACACAAAAGAAGTGTTGAATTTTAAAATTATGTTTTAAACCACTGAATGTACTCTTTTTTCCTCAACTTCTTCTGCATAGAAGTGCTTGAAATTTATGTTCAAATAGTGTACAAAAAAGTGTATATATTCTCACCTCATATTCTCATATGATATAAGATTTTCTATATAATAAATAAATAAAAATTTATGAATGAATCGGTTATCATATAATATAATCGACACAAACATAAATAAATTGTTTCAATAGAGAAAACACACAATATTTTTACAGACATTTAGAAGGCTATCATAAATCATTAAAAAGACACTCAAAACTAACGATAAAATTTTGTTTCTTAAACTCAAAAACACTTAATAGTGTCAGAAAGAAAAATGTTGTGTTAGAGTATAGGACAGTGTGTATGAGAGAGAGAGAGAGAGAGAGAGAGAGAGATTTTGGTGACAAAAAAAGGAGAGTTTAGTTAATCGGTTGTTCAATGAGAGTGAGAAAGAAAGAAAAAGAGAAAAAAATTTCTGATCCGATAAACAGAGAAAATATATATAAAGTGATTAACAGTTAAGATATTTATAACCAAAAAGCCTAACATTAATAGTAATTGTAATAACAGTGTGTTTAGTAGTAGTGGTTGTGTCGCCAACACTATTATCACAACAAATAACCACAAGAAAAACACACACATATAGTAATCTGTTTGTATGACACCAGCCATAGCACCCGACAGGTAAAGTGCATATGTGTGGCATCGGTTAGTGTTGTTGGCGTGCGGTTCGGGTACTTAAATAAATCAGGTCTTAAATACAGTAAACATGGCATCGACAGCAACAGTAGGACCAGATATATGGCCACAGTATTAGATATTGAGAGTAGTGGTGGCGGAGGAGACAAACACACGGCATCACTACATATATTGTCAGTATTAGTAGTGATGGCAAGCAATACATGGATAGAGAGGTTCTCCACACCATTGCTATGGCTGTGGAATATCAGCCAATATATAGCCATAGCATTAGACCTCTCGAAAATGCCATAGACTTGTATGGCATACGCTATCGACTACTGCCGACTGCTTCTGCTCTGCACTCAAAAACACAGCGAAAACAACCAAATATTTCAAAATAAATCTTTTTGCAGCAAGTTTTGGTATTCTGTGAGCAAATTCATTAGTATTTTGATAAAAAATCTTTCTCAAAAAGTGCCAAAATCGGGAAAATTCGGGAAAATCGGGAATTCCCGAAAAATAGAGACTCTAGCCATAGCATTAGACCTCTCGAAAATGCCATAGACTTGTATGGCATACGCTATCGACTACTGCCGACTGCTTCTGCTCTGCACTCAAAAACACAGCGAAAACAACCAAATATTTCAAAATAAATCGCTATTTTTTGTTCATTTCCAGCGAAACATTGATATTTTTCTACACTTATGTAATAAATATTTGGCATTTAGACCATTAGCCTTACCTTTTTTGATGGCTTGAGAGCACGTAAACAATATACATATGAAGAATACTGTGTAACCCATTATATCATTGCCCGAAAGAGTAGCGCTCGTGAATCAAGTGATGATTATTACTGTTGTTTTGGTTGCGATTATATTAATATATGTATTCAATCCAATGGTTCGGCTCCGGTATTAACAGCCGACCAATCAGTCCCGACAAACAAAACTTGACAGTTATTTTAGTGCCGAACAAAATCTTCGGTCCTTTTGGTTATGTCCACAATATATGGTTGTTTTGAACAGAAATATTTGACGAGACGAGAATTGGTGGCAACAAAACAGTATATATACTGTATGTGTGGTATATATTGAATGTTATTCCTATGGATTGCACGCCTCTTATGTCTCAATGAGAGAGCGAACCAGAGATAGAGTGAAAGAGTAGTGGAAATGTATGGAAACAGTTAAGCAAAAGTGAAGGAACCGAATATATATCGAGTGCAGTGGAGTTGTAGCCAAACTCGCTATACAGTCGATACGCGATTGCCTTCAAGTTATGAACACAATATTAGGTATACTTTCTGCGAGACTCAGAGAAACTTCGCCGTCGACTATAGAGTTAGTGAACGGTTTGTGTGGAGAGTAGACTTCGCCAACCCTGGGATCCAATGCACACCAGATTAAGGCTATGGGCAGTGGAGAGAGCGGGGGGAGGGCTCAGAGGCTCAGACAACACACACCGGCGCTGCGCTCCTCTCTCTCCCTCTCCAAAGCACCAGAATATCTGCCAACGCCTGTGACGTCAACGGCAACCGACAGAATGAGATATAAAGCCTATTGATCGAGTCGTTCAGGAATTGCAGACCTCTCTCTCTCTCTCTCTCTCTCTCTCTCTCTCTCTTTGGCTACAACTCCACTGCACTCGATATATATTCGGTTCCTTCACTTTTGCTTAACTGTTTCCATACATTTCCACTACTCTTTCACTCTATCTCTGGTTCGCTCTCTCATTCACTTGTATGCAAAAAGCAAACACTTTGCGGATAACTGTTCTCATAGAGCCCACTGGTATGGGAACAGTGATCAACATATGCACACTTCTTGTTCATATCAGACATATACACAACTGCAGGCGTTACCTGTTTATCACCACAACTATTACATTAGTGAATTTTTCTTCAATATATTCGTGTCTGTGTTATACTCTATATCCAGTCTATACCAGAATATGTGTGTATGTGTGCTATGAGAGCGCAGGGAAGGCAGGTATCCATAAGAAAAGGTCATATTATTTGTTATTTAAGAAAAAATGATGTATTGTATGGATATTTGAAATACATTTTGAGTTACGCTATATTTAGTGTATTTAATGTTCGGAGTTATCGCTGTTTAATGTGAAACAGTTATTCACTATTAAAATAAAATATACTTTTTTTACGATCGCTTCTTCTTTGCCATCCAAACGCTATCCGTAATAATAGAGTCAAACGAATAGGAAATACAAAACAGTTTTATGACTTATAGATTGGATCAGAGAATAAATATTATATAAAAAGCATATAATCATAATAATAAACATTAAAAATTATAGTAATCTTTACAACAAACTCTGTATACCGACTGATATATACATTTTGGATGCAATCATAAATATTCATATTTTATTCGCTAAATAATGAATATTTTGCATAAAGTATTTCATATCAGAATATAATATACAGCACTATCTTTAATAATGGTAAATATCTGTTGTTCAACAATAATTTAACATAATTTTTTTAATCATATAATTTGTATTTAAATTGATTAAAAATTATCAATAACCTGATATCACATGCAATACAATCGTGTATTATTTGATTTCATTTTGTAGAGCACTTATAGTCGGTAGGAATTCTTATGTTTGATTAAAATACATATAAATATACTCTCTTTCTCTATAAGAGGTATAAAAAAATAAATAAAAATATAATATATAATCCGATATTGAATTCACAGAATTAGATGCTATAAAAAGTATCAATAAATAGTTTGTAAAAAAGGAATTATAGATACAGTCGTTCCGAGAATTATCAAAGAATTTGTTTGTCATTTCAATTGTGTCACAAATAAATACATATAAATAGAGATTAACTAAAATTTGGTCCAAATTAACCTAAAATAACATTTAAAACTAGGTGTTAATGAGTAACGGCTCGTTCTCTTCGGAGTCATTAATTGTCTGATTGTGTTCATCGATATCCACGTCATTATCATCTGGTCTTCGGTTGGAAGCGTTCGCTTCCCTCCGACTGAGCTCTTCGTCTGTCAAATAGCCGGTGCTCTCAGTTATACCATAAGAAAAATAAACAATAAATCCTATAATGAAATCAAAGAAAAAGACGAGTCAACAAAAGTCAAACAATTTATATTTTATTGTTTTCATTTCACATTGTTTTATGAAGTTTTGAAATTACAATCGAAAGTAAAAGTTATGAAACATAAAAATTAAGAAATAATCAATTAAAACACCACTTGTGGTGTATTATGTAGTAATTGTACAGTAATTAAAAGCAAAACGATAGGTATAAATGGTCTGAAAATAACAACCGATTAAAGAAAATGCAAATAAAAGTGTAAAAACATGATTAAGAAATAGAAAAACAATATATCATTGTATTTGTAAATATCAATAATATAACAGTTAGAAAACAATAATAATATTAAGATTTCATAAACTGAAATGTTTTAGTATTAATACAATTATAATATCTATTTATATATATTTAAAGTTAAGTTTTTATATAAAAACATTATTCTTATAAGTATTCAATTCAAACGATTTAAACTCAAATATTTGGAAAACAATCTCTTAAACAATACAAACTTATTATAAAACTATAATAATAATAATCAGATCAATAAAATCAACTCAAAAACAAACTTCTGATATAATCTCTTTTAAAAACAATATAATAAACGTAAAATTATAATAACGTTTAAAAACACTAACAACTTATACATTATGTGTGTATATATAATACAATTGTATTGAAAAATATTATAACAAATTTTTATAAATTGATTTTTTCGTTTCAAATGTTGTATTTTTGTATTTAAACACGATTTATAAAAATCGGATAATATTTTGAATCGTTGGTAAAAACGACTCAAACATCAAATGTATTGATAAAATAATAATAATAAACAGTTATACACAATATGTATCGTTAAATCACCGGTTAGTTTAAAATGATTGAAATATTTTATAGACTTATAATATATATGAATGAATGACTAGTTTTTCATAGAATTCATGGCAACAGAGTTTTCTTTAGTCTCATATTTGATATTCGGCTGATTTTTTCTATCAATCCTTTCATTGCTGTTCCAAATGCCGTACAGAATAACTATAATAATAATAATCAGATCAATAAAATCAACTCAAAAACAAACTTCTGATATAATCTCTTTTAAAAACAATATAATAAACGTAAAATTATAATAACGTTTAAAAACACTAACAACTTATACAGTATGTGTGTATATATAATACAATTGTATTGAAAAATATTATAACAAATTTTTATAAATTGATTTTTCGTTTCAAATGTTGTATTTTTGTATTTAAACACGATTTATAAAAATCGGATAATATTTTGAATCGTCTGTAAAAACGACTCAAACATCAAATGTATTCATAAAATAATAATAATAAACAGTTATACACAATATGTATCGTTAAATCACCGGTTAGTTTAAAATGATTGAAATATTTTATAGACTTATAGTATATATGAATGAATGACTAGTTTTTCATAGAATTCATGGCAACAGAGTTTTCTTTAGTCTCATATTTGATATTCGGCTGATTTTTTCTATCAATCCTTTCATTGCTGTTCCAAATGCCGTACAGAATTATATATGAATGAATGACTAGTTTTTCATAGAATTCATGGCAACAGAGTTTTCTTTAGTCTCATATTTGATATTCGGCTGATTTTTTCTATCAATCCTTTCATTGCTGTTCCAAATGCCGTACAGAATATAAATGCTTAGCCCTATTGGAAACGTATGGTAGAGGTATAGTATAGTCAACACAGTATAAGCCAAACAAAAACCAATAATAAATGGTAAGTCAAACACATAGAGAATGGGTTACAAAAAGTAATAGTGAAACAGAATCGAGAAAACAAACAAAAAATAAATAAAAATCAAAGAAAAGTCGAGAGAAACTAATGAGAGATTAAGTAAGATATGCTTATCCTTACCGATGAACATCCACACAGAGAACCGAATCCAAGTCATTGTCGAAAGTTTTAGCATTAGATAGAAGTTCACGAATACGCTGTCAAATGAGAGAATTATGAATATAGGAAACAAAATGTTTTCAATAATAAACGACTTGTCTGTCAATAAACAGATCATTACCTCAAGAAGGGAACCCATGGAACGAGTGGTACCTATAATTATGTAAAGCACAACATTTTAAATCAATTTTAAATCAATTTTAAACAATAAAAACAAGTTTCAGTGCAGAAGCAATACCTGAAACGATATCCTTTTGGCCGAAGAGGGCTGTGATTGTAAGGCAACAATGGTTGTGATTGTAATGACAAATATGACACAACACACGACGATTGATGTGATGTCCGCCGCCGCCAACTTGTCCTCCAACGCGACAAACAGTGAGTCCAATACAATCAATAAAAGACCTAAAATGTCATCAAATCAAACGCAACACAAAATAAAGAAAACATTTGCGTTAAAAATAGTCTTCAATTAACTAATGAGTTAATTAATGAGATGACTGTTGAAGGCTTACAAATAATGATAACGAGAGCTATCGACACGTTGGAAGAGAGGGGCGACGGTGTCGTCAGTTTCTCCATATTAAAACATTGGCGCAAAACATCTCTATAACTGTAAACTCGATTATCGTTGGAATCGCTGGAACTGCCGACAAAGTGATTGGTGTTCATTGAGTTATCAGAAGCAGGAGAGGAGGGATAGGCATGC